TGTTTCCGTATGTATGTGCGTGTGAATATGAGCCCTGCATGATGCGCCTGACGCGTATCACGTCCTGCTGCAAATGATGAACGCTTTACGCTGTTATCTCCCTTTTTTTTTGGGGGGGGGGAGGAGCTGTCATTCTCGTGAACATTAAAAAATGTGGAATTTCGGGCACTTGGGTAATTTACATTTGGCTAAAGGAAAACCAGTAATGATAGAAGAAGTCATAAAAGATTTGGAGAGCATGCAAAAAGGCAAAGCTGCTGGTTAGGATCAGGTAAACTCAGATCTGCTGAAAGATGGAGGACCGATTGTGTTACAAAAACTAGTCACCCTGTTTACGAGGTGTCTCCTGGCGGGAAGAGTACCAGAGTTTTGGAAGAATGCTAACATAATCTTAATACATAAGAAAGGAGATGACAAGGACTTGAAGAATCACAGACCAATCAGCTTGCTCTCTGTAGTATACAAGCTATTTACAAAGGTAATTGCTAACATAGTAAAGAAAACATTAGAATTCAATCAACCAAAGGAACAAGCAGGATTTCGAACAGGCTATTCAACAATCGACCACATTCGTACTATCAATCAGGTAATAGAGAAATGCTCAGAATATAACCAACCACTATACATAGCCTTCATAGATTACGAGAAGGCGTTTGAATCGGTAGAAATATCAGCCATCATGCAGACACTGCGGAATCAGGGCGTCGATGAAGTATATATAAACATTCTGGAAGAAATCTACAGGGGATCAACTGCTTCCATAGTGCTTCATAAAGAACGCAACAGAATACCAATCAAGAAGGGTGTAAGGCAGGGGGACACAATCTCCCCAATGCTATTTACCGCGTGTTTACAGGAGGTTTTCAGAAGCCTAGAATGGAAAAAGTTAGGGATAAGAGTTAATGGAGAGTACCTTAGTAACCTGCGCTTCGCCGATGACATTGCATTGCTGAGTAACTCAGGGGACGAATTGCAACTCATGATTACGGAGTTAGACAAGGAGAGCAGAAAGGTGGGTCTTAAAATGAATCTGCAGAAAACGAAAGTAAGGTACAACAACCTCTGAAAAGAGCAGCTCTTCGAGATAGGTAATAGTGCACTTCAAGTTGTAAAAGACTATGTCTACTTAGGGCAGGTAATAACCACGGAGCCGAACCACGAGATTGAAGTAACTAGAAGGATAAGAATGGGGTGGAGCACATTTGGCAAGCACTCTCAAATTATGACACGTAGATTGCCACTATCCCTCAAGAGGAAGGTATATAACAGCTGTATCTTGCCGGTACTTAGCTACGGAGCAGAAACCTGGAGACTTACAAAGAGGGTTCAGCTTAAATTGAGGACGACGCAGCGGGCAATGGAAAGAAAAATGGTAGGTGTAACCTTAAGAGACAAGAAGAGAGCATGGATTAGGGAATAAACGGAGGTTAAGGATATCATATTTGAAATAAAGAAAAGGAAATGGACATGGGCCAGGCATGTAGTGCGTAGACAGGATAACCGCTGGTCATTAAGGGTAACTAACTGGATTTCCAGAGAAGGCAAGCGGGTTAGGGGAAGAAAGAAGGTTAGGTGGGCAGATGAGATTAAGAAGTTTGCGGGTATAAATTGGCAGCAGGAAGCACAGGACCGGGTTAACTGGCGGAACATGGGAGAGGCCTTTGTCCTGCAGTAGACTTAGTCAGGCTGATGATGGCGAAAGGAAAACAGCACGAAGTTGACAGGTCCGTATCGCAGACAGGACAGATGCATGCCATGATTGCCTCATCTATATATGATCCTTTGAGTTATTGCACGGTTTTCCGTTATCCTATAGAATTCCCGTAACAACGTAGGGAAATTTCGCTGAAACAGCTGCTTGGGCGAGTTGGTTCAAGATTAAGATAGATTTACAACACACAAAAAAGATGGAACATCTAGGAAGAACACCGTGCTGTGTGCGTGTGTCCTTCCTAGATGTTGTATTGTTCTTTTTGCACCGTTAAATTTATTTTCGTCTGGAAATTGCCCGCAGTATACATTGTGAAACTCCGCTCGAGCATCACGACGGCGCTATATGGACCATTGTCCGTCCCTATACTTTGCTTCCTTATATCAACAGTATAGCCTCAACAACCTCCCCGCAGTGCAGCGACCATCTTACGGGCTGAGCACACGTTCGCACTGCAGTGCATCAGCGCATTGCTTTTTGACGTTTCATGCGCCGCGCGCACAGCTTCCTGTCTCTCTCTCTCTTCATGGAGAGGGCATGCGCCGCGCCCTCTCTCTCCCTCTCTTCATGGAGAGGGCATGGAGCCGCGCCAGAAAGCTAAGCGCTGACGCCCTGCAAAGCGAACCTGTGCTGAGGCCTTTACGCTCGATTATAAGATAAACTGTTTGTTAAGTGTCTTTGCTGAGCATCCCGAAAAATATTGATATCCCGAAATGACCTGCCACCACACACGACTTGTGCAGACACGTCATGCAGACGACGGCATCGCAATCTTTTATAGATAGTCAGCACAGCGAGCTCGCTGCATAGAAAATGCGAAGAGCTCTGCGGTTTTCCGTCAAACGCCTTTGCACGTTTTCCGCTGAGCCCGTGTGCCTACTTCGCCCACCTCCGCGTCCCAGCCGTGACCGCGCATTACGCTGTGATTATTCGTGTACAGGAAAAGAAATTTCAGCCAATACTGAAGCCAATTGGACTGTATACGAATTGTACGCCTCGTGAATGCGGCCCCTTGGGGTGTGGGGAGATTTCACTTCTTGCATCTTACTGCATGCCGTTTTGTACTGATCCGCTTCTTGGCTTCCATGTGGCTGTATTTTAAAGTTTACTTTGCCGGTGTGGATATATTCGGTTACTCAATCGTGTTTGTTCATTTCCTCGGCGACCGCGCTTTTCGAGACCGCGCGCAGAGCTCCTGCAAGGCAGTGCTTGTCATGTGCACTGCTCGAAACCGTCAAAGGCTGTGTGATTAATGGAGCGTGCGTGGGCAGCGACCGCAGAAGTGGATTCCGCTGCGCATCCCACGACGAAAAATGACCGATAGGCCGCCAAAGCATAGACGCGGTGGGCGACAGCCGAACGGTGTCTTTTTTCTTCAGATGCCACGACTGACGAAGATTAAACGCGCTAACGTGCACTACAGGAATAAATGTTCGCTCACGAATGCACGTTCCATTCAGTATCAAAAGGAATTCGACGTGCATTATTGCGTTGTGCACATAGTCGCCATTTTTTTTTTCATCCGACTGAACAACTTACGCCAACACGGCGCACCAAATCACATAGATTACAAACGACGAGAGCTGTGCAACTATCACTCGAGATGCGTTTTGTTTACGAGTCTCACAAACCAGCTTTAGAGAATATCCTATTCCTGCTACATAAATAAATCATACATGAGAGCATTCTCTTCACACTCGTGGGCACCAGAATGCGTGACTAAATCACGTTCGCGTTTTCTTACCAATTATGCGCATATATATATATATATATATATATATATATATATATATCGGTCTTCGATCGACCAATATAAATGTAATATGTGTGACCAATATTATATGGATTCCGAGCCGCCTTTTATTAATGATGCGACATCGACGCACTTACGTCTACAGTGACTAGACATGAGGCTCACGATGGTTTAGTCAGCAAATACGTAAAATTTGTTATGATGAGCCAGTGAACGCGTTCAGATAAAAAGAGCACGCATGGTGCGCGTCGGGCACGGCATGATGTTTCATCTGGAAAACTCGCTTTTTTGTATCGAGGCCATAATAAAAAAAAAAAGAATTTCTCCGTCCCACACCACGAGTGCATGCGGCAGGGCATGTTTGTGTAGAGTATGACTCGATGAAACCAACACTTATACAAAAATGGTACTGAGTTAATTACTAGGACGTCATGACCAACTAAGGAAATTTAGACACCGAGATGAAGAGCTTGACACTGCACGGTCGAAATCACGTGAATTATTCTTCGTTTCATTTATATGATTCAACACCACATTACAACGACGTTACGCTTAAAACGTTTTTTTTTTCAGCGGTCTTTCTTGCAACTGCTAGTGAGCACCAGATGCACGAGACTGGCGTATACTAAGCTCTCAGAGCAAGTTTAGGGGCGAAACTTTCGTTACAAAGCGCCGGCGTCATGCAGGTGAGGCTAACTTGCAAGATGAAGAATTTTGTGTCACGGTCACTCGATACTTGAGAAGGGAGCCAGTGGTGGTGCCCCAAAGTGGCTTGCATACACATGCTCTTGCGTTCCTTTTAAGCAACATGGAAAACTGGACGAGTTGGGGCAGATTCCTTGTGGCAACAGCGCGAGAGCCCAGACATAGACTAGTACCATGTCAGCTTCGTGCCGAATCGACTTCTATAGTGCCGTGTCCACATACTGCCTTGCCCACTTCTCGTCTATGTCGGGGTTTTCGCGCCGTTGTCACTATGTCCCTTTTGGATCCTAGCCGCAACCGAGAGAGAGAGAGAGAGAGAGAGAGAGAGAGAGAGAATTTATTAGAAGGCAGAGAGGTTGGCCTGAGTTAGTTCGCTCTAGCCTGCTACTCTACACAGGGGATAACGGAAAGGGGAAGGAAAGAGGGATGAAGAGTGATGATGGGGATTAGAAGAGGTGACGCGTATGTACAGTAGCCTCTTGGCATAGTACCCTACAGTATAGTTTCTAGTCCAGTGCTTTTTATAATGTCTAGAACAGTCTTTGTAGCAGTTTTTGACACTGCTTGGTCGTTCATTGCTCACAATATGTGGCTTTCACTTAATGGTGTTCGTCCGATGCTTGCCAACGTTGCAGTCAGCATTTTTCTTTGCGCCACGTATAATGCACAGTCACAAAGACACACAATGGGCTCGCGTACGCAAGCCACTTGCAGAGCCCTGACACTATATAGAACTGTCTCTCGCGCATCGTTACGTAACTGCTACGCGACAGGGACCCGTAAGATGTGAAAGTGAAAGCGCCCTGCACGTGCGTGAAAATATCAACTTACTTCGGCACTCCGGACAGCATGTGCCGGGTGTCTGGGCGATACGGCTCGGCGGACATGGCAGCACCGGGCACGACTTCTTGGTGCATGTCACGCGGCCACCCTGCGAGAAAAGGACGTACGCGTTTGTGCTCGAAGGAACGAGCGTACGACACACACATTCATTTTAAAACATATACGGCAATGTCGAGGACTCGTAATTTTTGAGCTGACCTTATCCAACGAGCTAAGAAAATGTCGGGCTCCGCTGTTGGTTCGTTCGCGCTCACTCGCCGCGAAGCCCGCCGCAATGTCACAATGGATATGGATCGTTACATGCCACGATGGGTACACCATAGCAAGACTATGCAAAAAAGCACATGAAAAAATTCAGAAGGTCAAAATCTCCGGAGTCCTCCACTACGCCGTCTCTAAGTAAACATATGGTGGCTTTGGGACGTTAAATCCCACATATCAATCAATTAAAAAACACGAAGGCAAGTGCAGAGGTCTTTCTTCGTCTGTGTTTTCCGGGCAACACATCTACACGTGTTCAAGAAGTCACAGCTTTGCCGCGAAGGCGAAGCAATGAACGCGATAGCAACGAATTGAAAGGTCACGCGAAGAATGGCAAGCAGATCGAAACGCACCCCGCGTTTCTCACACACAAATGACGCATGAAACGTGCTCACAGGTACAGATGAACACGAATAAGCGTCTTGGTTGTTACTTCGATGTGTCTGAAAAGCGTGCCCTTTTCGCAAACTGATACTGATTGATATGTAGGGTTTAACGTCCCAAAACCACCATATGATTATGAGAGACGCCATAGTGGAGGGCTCCGGAAATTTCGACCACCCGGGGTTCTTTAACGTGCACCCAAACATGAGCACACGGGCCTACAACATTTCCACCTCCATCGGAAATGCAGCCGATTCGGGATTCGGGCCCGCGACCTGCGGGTCAGCAGCCGAGTACCTTAGCCACTAGACCACCGCGGTGGGGTTCGCAAACTGATACTGTGCAGCGAGTGCAGTTCCCCCCGTAACTACAACAGAATCGTTCCGGTGAAAGCCCAAGGCGTGTATGGTTCTCCCCAGCGTCCATCCCGCCTCCTCTCCACGGGGCACAGTACGCGTGGGAAATGAGAGCGCGCGCCAATGCCTTGTGACAATCTGCAGCGACGCGTGCTCATTGCGCCATCTCACCGGTAACGCTGAAAACACGATAGCTCTCCCGAGATGGCCATCACCAGCGGTAAATATGGTATGACATGGTATGGTATGGTACGGAAAAACTTTATTGTGGTCCATCGGTTCTTGAACTAACACGTAGCGAACCGCTCCCACGTCGGGACAGATAAGCCTAACCTGTCCGCCACGTCGTGGCCACGTTGGACTGCCCATAGCTGCGTCCTTAAATCCACGCAGCATCCCACTTTGACGACGTAAAGTTTTCAACCTGTAACGCAGGGTACCGCCAGAGCAAGTGGTAGATAAAAATAGATTGCCGTTTGAACGTTGAAGGAGGTGCTCTTACGTGCTCAGTAACTAACGCCGCGCACTCACCAACAATTAGGAGGTCGGAAATTCGATTCTGCGTGCAGGGGTCTTCTTTCTGGAACATTTTTCTTTCTTTGCGGTTCCTTACACACACACACACACACACACACACACACACACACACACACACCACACACACACACACACACACACACACACACACACACACACACACACACACACACCACACACACACACACACATATATATATATATATATATATATATATATGGGATCTAACATACAATGATGCCAAGGAATGTATATGGGAAGTTATTAGAACCAATGTAATGTAAATAAGAAGAAAAAAAGTGGGTGAAAAAAATAACTTGCCGTGAGCAGAAATCGAACCGACGACCTTCGAATAGCGCGTTCGATGTACACGGAAAAACGAGCCCTTAGGTATACACTTCTTTCCCTTCTATATATATATATATATATATATATATATATATATATATATATATATATATATATATATATATAACGCCTCAGTCAGGAAGCTATTACGGTGGTATATATAGTTGCGGCGGCCTTTTAGCGATGAGTTTCGAATGCAAAAATACATGGGTGCACATTTATTTAGGCACACATATAAAAAATTTGTTTTTCATGATTAATCCAGATACTCATTTCTTTAAAGGACCCCTCATAGTGAACACGATAGTTGTGGAAAGTTGGGCGCCATTAGTTACTTAGCTAACAAAATTAAAGAGATTCCCGTCTTTCTCCTCGGCTATTTGACGTGCCTATGGCGCGAATGGCTTTATTACCAGCTAACTAGATGAGTGAATGCAGAACAATTTACTTTGTAACCGGCATACTTAAGCCTTCTTATCTGGACGTCTAAGGTGTGACGTAAAAGGGTACTCAGGCGTAGTTTTAAGCGTAGTGTATCCAAACTGGCAATCACTTGGCCATTCATGCTCGCCAACTTTACACACGCGTTTCGCCTAAGTCAAATATTTACGTGGCATCGTAAAGAGGCGCAATAGTTAAGAGAAGCAAGAGAGACAAAGCCAACGCCTTCGGGCACGCTGCACCTGGACTGGAAGCGTCAATTTCCTCCATGTGTATTCGGCGCACCCAATCAAATCGCGGAGTTCCAGAAACACAATGTCCTTGCCAGCTTGGAGCAATTCCAACCAAGTCGCGGTCGTCTGTGATAAATGTTCCTTCATAAGCCGTTCTCGCAGATCACGCACTATAGAGGCCAAATATCAAGCTCACACGTGTACGCGCGCGTGCCCACGCTAGTGAAAAGAAGAGAACACTCAGGCAAGTTGACGCTGCGAAGCCATGTCGCGAATTCAGCCGTGATTCAGCATGCCACGAAATCGGTACAGCATGCGTGTATACCACGGTGTGTTCTGCGCGACGTTCTACCACGTGGCCTCACTTAATTGTTAGTCCTATGCCGTTGAACAAGCTGCAGCAAAAAAGCACTAGTGTATACGGCTCTCGCACAGTATCTTGCGAGGCATGTACCACTTCGATGCGTGCAAGTCGCGCAAAGTGACGTAAAAATGTCCGTGCACTCCAATACAAGTGCACGTTAAGTAGAGTCAGGTGTGGAAAATTAACTCAGAGTCATTCACTGTGTACGGCGTGCCTCACAATGCATGGTAGTTTGGCATGAACAATGGCGTAATTTAATTTTTTTTTCGAGTGATGAATAGCGCATGCATAGGCAGGCAGCATGACCTCCATCAAATCACAGTGTTGCGTTTTATCTGTATTTTTAACACGAAGGTGTTTTATGCTGGTGTCCACGAAAACTTCAGAGACACATCTCCATTACCACACAATCAGATGTCAAACAAAAAGAAGTCAGCGGGAGTCAAACCCACAACCTGTTGGCACGCTACTCCAGATACTTGGCACGATAACCATTGCTCACGGTCACAAACACAGACGCGCCTTTTATATCTCCTTTTTTCTCGCTCAGTGTGTTTTGCCAGAGGGGTAGTGTCGCCCTTTCACAGTGGCAAAGCGAGGTGACGCATCATGACCAAGGCCTCCGCGATTGTCTCTTGCAACGCGTCATTGCTTTGCCTCCAGCCCGTTCAGCGCGTCTTTCAATAAGAGTATAGTACAATTTTGTAAACGCATGAAAGCACTGTGAGGTGGCGACCTCAGCCCTAACATTGCCCTCACTCGTAGCGCCCATTCATATACTAAAAATAGCTCAACAGTGCGTTTCCCGGTTACGTTCGTCCCAGGAAAAATCGCGGCCGGCCTCCTGGCGACATAGGACGCACATTGTGCTTCCCTATAGCCCGGTCTCCTGTTTTTTTTTTTTAATTAACTCTTTTACATGCCCCAGGAGGGCGACCTTAGCACAAATTTTGTGTTTATTCAGCGATACTTTTCTGGCTGTCACACCACTTTTTCTGATCGCACTCTCGTCATTAAAGTCTAGAGCTACAACTATAGGGTTGTTTCATACTCAAGGGCGTTAGTCGCCGGGATAAAGGTATAGTACCAACAAGCGTCAACTTGGGTGCATACACGTTAAACGGTGTTGTAGCTGGCAACGCACCAAAAGAGACTGCAAGTTGTCTTATATCAGTGTACAGTAAACACTCAACTACTTCTGCAAGGACAAGTTTTACTTTCTCGCAATACTGATTCATGCGACGAAGGGATCAACCATGACTTCTACAGCTTTATTTTAACGCGACAGCAACTAAAGGGCCGATGGGACAGAAATTCCGGCTTCGGCGTCGCTAGTTACGAGCACAAAATTGGCGTTGTCAACAACAAAAAAATCGCGGAGGACGCACATTATGAACATTATGGGTTCGAGCTTGAACCAAACCAATGCAGTCTTCTTTGTGGGAGCCAGGGGTTCTATCTCAGAGCTACGTCCGTGCTTGAAACTTCGCCGAAAAAAAAAAAACCTACACGGGCGTCAAGGAGTCGCGCTACAGGCTCATTCGCATCCGCAGCTGGCAGTGGTCGCGCGACCGTATGCGACCAGCGGTCAAAAAGCGATCTTATGCTTCTTCAGTAACTTTCATTGTAGCGCCCTTAAAGGCCAGGGAAAAATGAAGCCATACGTGAAGAGACAGAGCGCCTGTCCTTTACGTGTGCTACAAGGAAGCTCACTGAAGATGCGCTACAAACAAGCGCGCATCGCATCCCTCGCGACCTTATGCGACCGATGATCGCAGCTGCAGCATGCGGCTTATGCCCGTCGACACACAATTTGCGCCGGCTCGCATTGCTATTGCGCCGCTAAATAAGTTGATTTCCCTGCTTCCGCAGGTGCGTCTTATTGGTGCAAAGGTTCGCCACTGCAGTGGCGTGGCTGAAAACAAATCGAGCAGTGAGCGGCTCGTCCATGGCCGTTTGCAACAAGTCGCTTTGCGATTGTAGCTTGGTGGTGCAATTAGTGCTAAAGTCTCAGTTGTGAACTAGGCTTAACACACGAAATATTCCGTGTCTGGAGTCTAGAATCGCACCAGGCGTCCCACCGTGTGAGTTGCGCAAGGAGTCAGTGGTTTAAGGGCCCTACCCATTACAAAGCAGGGTGTGATTATTCATCATTAGCGTCAGCAAGGTCCGTAGCTGCGTCTCGTATCGCCTTACGGACGCGAAGTTCGCGGGTATACTGCGCTAATTCACAAAAGGATTCATCAAGACGCAGTGGGCATTCCGAAACTGCAGCGTACGTGGAGCCTGCATGTACGCACACTATAGGAGAGTTTGCAGAGAGCACGCACACGGACTCTCTTTTCCCCATGAAGTATCCACCGAGGAGCGCCCACAAGGAAGTGAAGACTGTGTGAACGAGGCCTAATTGCGCTATCGCTGGTGAAACTCACACGTCCTCCACTTTTTATAGCCGATTGTCGAAAATCTGTATCGACGTCCATGCACTCCGAGCCTTGCACTTCAATGGCTTGTAACAAAGATGCGGAAAAGAAGATGGAGCTGATAATGCCACTCGTATACCTTCACGTTTCGTGCTTCTAGCAGCAGATGTTAAAAAAATTGAAAAGAAAACAAGGGTGCTGTCCATGTTTAATTCAACACGCGTACCCTTTCGAGTATATACTTTTGTGAGACGTTGCGTGAAAAAAGATAGTGCTGTTCAATTATGAAAGCGTTTATGCGGAACGAACATGACGCCAGGCATGCATATTTGAATAAGTCATACCTCGTGGCGCAATAATCGCGCGATATAGAAGCGCTCAAGAATATACCTTTGTCGTACGTGTGAATATCGAAGTTTTTCTCTCGAACGTGTAAACAAAAAGAAAACAACAACAACAACAAAATGAAACATTATTATTAACAAAAAAAAAAAGAAAGCAGGACAGACTGTGATGTTTCGACGCGAAAGGCTAAAGCTTGGAAAAGAGCGTGGATAGGTTAAACTTTGAGATCAAATAGGAAGAGCGTCCCATTATTTAAGCGTTGCTCGAACTAATGCAACTGCGCACGAAATAGATTCCTGTGTTGTTACTCTGAACGCATTTTGGGTTAATCAACTGTGATGGTGCGTGTTTAAGCCGAGGAATGATCCAGCTAAGGGTTGCACCCTTCTTCCTTGTTTTTGCAATGACAAAAATATAAATGTATATACAGGGTGTCCCACATAAATTTAGCCAGAGTTTGAAAAATATGTCGGAACACGGAACTAGACGCGACCAAGTGCATGTTGCTCTCCGTTGCCTGGACTATTTTTTGTGTGCTAAAATATTGTTTAAGTAGATCTTCTTAATTAACTAACTTTTGAAGGAACGAAGATGGATAAAAATTCCAATGAGAAAGTTGTAGATTGGTTTGCAAAACTTCCAAATAAATAGTTTTGAACTTTATATCTGTTAAGTATTGGTGTTTTCCTGCTAATTACATATGCCCGCGAAATACAAAAACACCACGTGACCAACCCGCTCGCGCGTCAGTTCGCATGATGATTCTGGTGCTCCCTAACGCTCCGCCTACGAACGACATGCTTCCCTCGCGCCGGTTCATGACAGTGATAAGCAGTCACAGCGGTTATCTTTTTTTTTTTTTGTGGCCGATAGCAAAACGTGTTCATCGTAAAGCCAACATCATCGTTGCGGCCCTGCCGAGACAGCACTATACGGGGCAAATGCTATGGTCTAACGTACGCGGAACGTTATAGAAGCACTAGAATCATTGTGCGCATCTGGCGCACGAGTGGGTTTGTCATGTGAAATTTTTGTATTTCGCGGGCACTTGTAATTAACAGTAAAACACTAATACTTAAAAACATAATGTTCAAAACTGCCTATTAAGATGTTTTGCAAACCGATCTACAACTTTCTAATTGAATGTTTTATCTATGTTCGTTCCTTCAAAAGTTAGTTAATTAAACATATATAATTAAACAATATTAAAGAACACGAAAAGTATTCTGAGTAACTCCAGGCAACGGTGAGCAGCATGCGTTTCGTCGCGTCGTAATTACGTGTTCCGGAATATTTTTAAACCCTGGCTGAAGTTACGTGGGACACCCTGTATGTTGGGTCACGAAGAAGCCCTAAAGTTATGAAATGCTTAATTATGCATCACTATAGCACACGAACAGGTGTAGCGTGTCCAACGTCCTGAAGTAAACAGTTGACTATCAGCGCATGCAAGATGCACAGTATGAATAGTCGGCGTATACACGCGGACTTTGAGTATGCTTTCGTGCGCATACTTTTGGTATACGTGCAGCCGCTATAAACACCGCAGCTTCAGCGCAACCATGGGAGGTGAAGCTTTAAGCAAGCCTGACTCAGTTTCGACTCTTGAAGCATGCTGCAGCTACCTCACTTTCCTGTACGACAGGATGTGCGACCTTCATCGTTGCTTCGTTTCCTACGTCCGATACGGCCTTCTACCCTATTTCAAGATTCCCGCCATTGCAATCGCACACACATTGCTACTATTTAACAATAGTAAGCGAACCGATAGCCCTTAGGTCTTTTTTTTTTGTCGGGTTAATGTTTAGTCATACCACATGGGAGGAAAAAAAAACAGTAAGGCTGCACTGCAAAAATTCTCATGCTAGAATTTGACGGTGTTCCGTGGTCCTTAATTTCCTATGAGACAAACAATATTACGTTGTAGAGCCGAAAGGCGGGCGAGTTGGAACTTATCCAAATAGTGGGCAGCGCACATAATGAAAACGCACACAAAAATGGAAAGAGCACAAGCGCTGGACAAGCCATTGCCATGTTTGCGGTTGCACTCTTTTTTTTTTTTAGCAGACCTCAATCATTGATCGCTATCATAGTCACACGTGAGATAGTTGAAGCTTAGCGCATGGCGAAGTGTGTTGGCAATGGCGTTAGCCAGCCTTCTGTTGCTTTATCAGAACAAGAAATTTGCTTCATTGATCGGATGTAATCTTGCTGCTCGCATGATTTTCTCGCTCTCTCTTTATATATATATATATAATATATATATATATATATATATATATATATATATATATATATATATATATATATATATATATATATATATATATATATATATTGCGTGTGTGCTTTCTTTCAGATAAATTTTCTGTTCAGTGCTTGTCCTGTTTCGTTCTCTTTTGTGTTTTTTCATGTTGTGCTCCGCCCGCTATAGAAGTTTTTTTTTTTTTTCGAACAAAGGGAGAGTTTAAACAGATATGAACGTAAAATTCGCTCAGTGCCGAAGTCAGCCTCAATGGTGATCTACCACTTGAGCCGTCACTCTACGGCCAGAGAACATTCTTAGAAAAGATGCACATCACTCAGAGGCAGGTGAACTCGACTGTTTATAAGCGTAAAATGTAAACAACTGCACGCAAACTTGGCGAGTATACGGAAGGTGGCGTCGCGGTCCCGGCGTGAGGATGGCGTCCACCTGCGGTGACCATTGAAACACGTGGAGTGCTTGGGAAAGGACACGCTACTCTTGAGCGGTGGTCCCACGGTGCGCTGTGGGTAGCTAATTAAATACCCTCTCACAACAGAGGGACGCCGCCCGTCTCCCCGCTAAGCTTGGTGATTTTGTTTCTCGCGACAGAAGTATCCGCGGGGTGTGAAACGATCATATTAACACATTCTGAGAAGCAGTTGCCATTAAATGTAAATTGAGCCCCGAAGCTGCTGGCAATTACATCAACCGTAGACGTGCTGCGAGCGGCCAATTGTGGGCGCTGGCAAGTGTCCTACGCGATGCGCGTCGATCTGGCGTGGGTTCCCTTGGGCCCTCTTTCTCCCATTCGGCTTTTTATTTATGCTATAATCACTCTTCCCCAACAGCTCTATCTGCTGATACCCGATTAGCACAGAGAAATACAGAAAAAAGAGCGAAACGCAACCCTCCTCCCGTGTGCGGTGAAGAAGTGCGTCAGCACTTTTTTTGTGCACAACATGGCGCAGATCAAGCGATGGTGGCGTGAGGGCCGTACAGTATACTCATCGTTGTCTGCACAACACCAACAGCAGGCGCCCGACCTTGTCCCTAACACTACGTCTCTCGAGCATTCGTAAATTGTGTCGACGTCTTACACTTTTTCCCATAACACACACACACGCACCCCCCCCACACACACACGCACGCACGCACGCACACTACTTCAGTAAGCCATCGTGACGCGGTTTGGACGCGCGCACACACAAAAAGATTATACATACTCTGTTCTCTTTGTATATGTGCGCATCATAATAAGAAATGTTGCGATATTCACCAGTGTAAAACTAGTACTGCATCCCTGGTTCCACTCTTGTGAGTATCGTAACCGCAAAGCACGAATTTGACGGATATTTATGAAAGTGCATACGGTACCTTGCAGAGGCACACTACGCAGGGGTCCCGTTCGTACGACGGTACGACGTCTCCTTCGGCGTACTGCCTGCCGTCCACCGTGCAACCTGCAGAGGGAAGGCAGCAGTGCTGTCTATTTATTGTTGGCGGCAAATTCGACAACAGGAAACGTTTTTGAAACGTACAATACACAACTTTGTATTGAATAACATCAGCTTTGTTGGCCACTGTTTTTTTTTCACATTGTTATAATGTATGGCATAATTTTAGCAAAATATTACACAAGAACGATGCCAGGGCGCAGGATTATTTGACAAGATCACACTGCCATGCCATTTCGTGGTGTAATACAGATACGATGCTTAAAGGCTAATGTGTTTTATACAGACAAATCGCAAACGAACTTGAAACCCAAGAAGTACTGAACGCGGTAAGGTTTAACGCTGGTTCATTTTTTTTTTTTTACAGAACAGCTTCTAGTTCGCTGTTGAGGCTACATTTTCTCGATAAACACCATCTGAAGGGAAAATGGGAACTTTCGCAAAGTTTGTAGTCAGAGATGTGGGAACTGATGTACATATACTGAATAAACATGCCTTGCACACTGACTGCAGCTTCAAACATACAAGTGCACCATGTGGCCAGCGATTGATAAAAAAAATAAAATAGGAAATAGTTGCAGACTTTCGGTGAAGAAGTGTCAACCAATTATTATAGCACGATATGGAACGTCCGCCGATGCGAGTAATACGTCATCGAACGTTTACCGCACCATTTACGAGAATTCGTCAATTCGATGAGACGTCGTGTACTTAACATAGTCCAACGCAAGTAAGCATTCCGAGCTATCTTCTGGCGATACAAAAGAGGAAGAGAACAACAACAAAAAACGCAGAGTTTTCGCTCAGCAGCGAGACTTCACTCTTCTTCGATTCTCTAATTTTGGAACTATGGAAGCGAAACCTTTATTGCATGTACGACGATCGCCTTACCAGCGCTAACCTCTCTTATCTACGGTGTGCACTTCGCTTTCTGTGCCTCTTCGCGTCGTACAGGTAGCATAAACGCTGGCTAACGCAGCGCAGCGTAACGTAGACCCGAGCATGACGTGTTACTTCGCATATTGCGTGCGTCGAAGCGTACGAAAGGCTGAGCAAGCTCAGCGGCTTCACATGGTCGAAAGGCGGACAGGGCTGCGAAGGAGCCGTCATTGTCCTCCCGCTTGTTCGGGCACCGAAGCGAGCATCGGCGTCCGAGCGCGTTGGTCGGGCGGGCCCCGAGCGAGCGGCGGCGTTCTATGCGCGATGCCGCAACGAGTCGCGCGACTGAGAAGGACGCGCGCAGGATTTCCTGCCCGCCCCTAATGAAGCGCGCTGTCGCCGAGGATTGCACAACCAATAATCGCCCCGCGGCGGGCAGCCCGCGTGTCTGGCGCAGCAAGCATGGGTCGGCGCTCCGCCGTCCGGGGCCGACCGTTTAATTGGAAACTGGCGCCACTTGAGGATGTTTACAAGCGGCGCAGCAATAGCAGCTGGTCTCGTGCCCACTGACCGTGATGACAACGACGCGGGGGAGCACCTGACGCCGCGTCCCAGGTACACCATTGGGCCGCGCCAGGCGCGTGCATCACGTGGCGAGCCCCGCGCGCCGCCCTGGGCAAGCGCGTAGCGGCGCACCGACTTGCGCTTGGAAGCGATCGTGTGTGCTCTCTCTCTCCTACGAAATTATCTCAAGGCAAGTTCTTTTTTTCTTTTTTTGTCGGCATCAGAGAAACAGAGTGCCCGACGCAGCGCGAATGCGTGCCGTTTCTGCAACTCAACGATTGCCCTTCAGAAAATCGAATTTGCGAGCGCGGGATAGTGGAATTTAAAAAAAAAATTGAGAAGAAGAAAAGGTATGGCTGCATCTGGCTTCGTACAGAAGAAGAAATGAACGATCGAATTTACAAAATGAACGAATGTATACGTACAGCTTGTGCGAATGCGCACATACTACGGGATGAGCCATGCAGCTGCAGCGCGTATACGTCGCGATTGGTGCGCGCCTTATTGCTTGGCGCGTCTTCGTAAATGTGGCGATTTGAACGTGTTATTCTTTTTGTGACGTGATTGTACACTTAATAGATAGTGACTGCGGTCAGTCCCCTTGATATGCTGGCATAGTTCACCGGCGGTCTTGCAATTCGGAGTCAATCACAGCCATATATGCTGCGCCATCGACCTTGCCTTCGCATTACGCTGATACTAATAAGTCCTTACGGTACGCTGGCGTGATGTAATCACACTTCTCGCAAAGGACGCTAAGCTTTACTATAAGCATGTGCACGAGTAGGAATTGCGAGAATGGTGCGTGGGTCTGCCAAAGGTAATGGGCCAGAAGATAAAACATTACTTGACAGATCGAATTGTCTCGCGTAGGAGAGCGTGAATTAATGATAACATAATCTCAGAACTCGTTTGGCAAATGTTTGTATCGCCCTGAGTCCAGTGTATTGCATATAGGCCTCCCCAACGCGCATACCCGCTGTACTTGAAGTCAGTATATATACAAGGCCTTGACAACGCGATAAGAAACAAAGGCGACTTGTTGAAAGCCAGCGTAGCAGATATGTTTGCTGATTTTTTTTTTACTAATAAAGGGCGACAACTTATTGCAGACCTCAAATAAAAGGTACTTAGCTCTATGCCAATATTCAGTTACGGTGACATAGTTCGATAACAGTCGCCGTACAACGACACCACAGAAGCACATCACATAAGCATCACATAAGTGCAGTGTGCATAGCAACATTGCATATAGTGCAGCAACACATAGTACGTCCTTTGAATTTTGGACAGTAGACGTGTTTGTCATCATCAGTGGACTGCAGAACCTAACCATACCAATTCAAACAGCTGACAGTGTGTTTTAAGCGCAGATATTCAAGTCAAAAGGAAACTACCGCGACCTCATAAGAAAGCCCAACGTTTCACGCGGAATTCACACGTTCCCGACTTACATAGCTGCAGCGGCCTCAAGGCCAACGCCTATACATTAGCGGCACACAATGTCAGCTTTGATACTTCGAGAAGCCGACGCGAATAAGGAAGGTGTTGTCCGGATATATATAGTTAACGCCTTCCGTTCTTGAAAGGTGTTAACATATGGTTCTGCAATAGGATGGAAAGGTGGGCTAGTTGGTAATTCATGATGGTTCAGCGAACTGGGAGCGCGGGGGTAAACACAGACACAAAGCAAAGAAGAGGCAAACAGCACGAGCGCTCATATGGTTCTACTCACTTCGCGACTGACACGTGCGGCTGAACGAAGCCGACCTTTGCTCTTGGCCAGTCGCAGATGAGCGCTCGACCTCCTCACATTTCTATATGCACTGTCGATTGGTCCTTGCCAGTAGGCTAGTGTAAATCAGGATTTTGTACAAGGGATAAACGCGCTGAGCGTAGAAATTTTAGTGATTGTTGTTTGGTTGCTCACTTGAGAGAAAAAAGTTTTCCCAATAGAAAGAGTAATACCTGGTGTGGCGGGTACGCTCATCTCTACGAGGCGGCCCCTTCTTCTTGGCTTTTTTTTCACTCCCAACAACATTGCGCTAGGTTCCGTTATGGTTTACAAGAACAAGCGGTCTTTCCACTCCTCGAACCGATATATCTCCCTTAGCTGCAGCTCCACGCGCGCGCACGAAAAGCGTGAGATTGCGGGACAGCCCGCATCTAGAGATTCCACCCGAATTCTGACAAACATTCTGCAGCACCATCGGCAATAGTCACATTGTGGTGTGTCCGCGATGTATCGCGGAAACCGGTCAGCGTCCCGCTCAGGCCACGCCACGGATGGCCCGAGAATCGTGGAGTGCCGCAGGGACAGCGCCCTTTCAGGAGGTGCAGTACCGGATCCCATTGGGTCAAGGATTGCTGGCGCGGGCCCGCTTATGTATGAATTATTCGGGATGCACTGCTAACGCGTGTATCGCCTCGTAACGGTGTTCCCTTGCACCACAGGCGTCGACCAATGAGGCGCGCACGTGCTACAAACAGGAGTATACGCGAAGGAATGCGACGCGAAGGCATCTTTCTTGGCATACCCTCGCAAACATAGTTTTCAGCCGGAGCTGATTAGGCTTTATTACATGTACTTCAGTCTCGCATATACATTGCCTGTTTCTGATATTTATATTCGTCAGAGTCTTAATACTTTATTGTTACGCCAAACAATCCAACGTTTTTTTTTTCAATCCCAACGTTTCTGAAATATCGAGGCGTTCTGCGCATCTTGCGCGGTAATAACTTGACGTGTGATTACAATGTGTTCTGTCCATTCCGTATACTTTTGTTGGAGCAGACACCTGCCCTCTCCTGTAAGTAAGATTAGCTTTGGCACATTTTTTCTTTATTTTTTTTTTTGTCCTCAGGCAGTCGGCTTGACAGCATGCGCACGCGGGTTCCTGAACTTGCAAGGGTATACCTGGCACCGAAATCAGAGAAAATGATTGTATGTGCAGTAGTGCCGCGTAATACCTCGCAGCAACTTGCACGCTTGCTACAAGCCTCATCAATTTTTTCCCCAAATAGGTCAGCATGCGAGGTTCGTGGTTACTACTTGCCTAGTGCGGTGTCAGTCGGCTCGTGGCGCCCTTCGTGGGAATTGTCCCTCTGTGCAGCAATAGCTGGGTATACCGATAGAAGTGCATAGTGTCCGTTTGCGCGAGAATATTTAGTCGCTACCTGCCCTTTCTCATATAACCTATCACACTGCTTGAAATGTGCAGTTCAGGTCTGGTTATTGCAATCCAGTTAACTCGCTCGATGATACATTATTTATAAGTAGTAATCACCCGATATATGTGATATTTGCAAGTTTTTTCATCAGAGTCCTTATATTTCATTGTTGCGCCAAACAACCACTTTTTTCATCCCAACGTTTCTCAAGTATGACTACGCACCAACTAGGTCAAGCTTTCACTCTTGTGCGATATATGTGATTTTGCGTGGTGCATACGCCTCTCATGTGAAGCGCCATTGTGTTCACGCGTGTATTTTTTTCAGATGTCATTTATTATCTTGTTATGGTTACTTCTCCCCTGTGAGGAGAGGTCTTGATCCGCAAATTT